TCTGCATTTTTTATTAGACATTTAGCAAACAAAAGTTTTCTGTCAAATTGTTATGAGTTTTTAAATAGTTGTAGTTTCTGTATATATCATATGATTTGGAAACAACTGTTCACAGACCAACTTTGGTCTGTGGACCATAATATGAGTAGCACTACTTCAGAGCAATTAATCTGACATCAGTGTACAGGTAGAGCAATTGGAAAATGATTGCTGAAGAGTTAATGAGGACTTGGACAAGTTGTTAGTAATGTGAATGAAATGGAAGATCTGGATTCCAGAGACATTTAGAAATTTAAATGAAGGCATACGAGATGATTGTGGGTGAAGACCTGGATTTGAGGGAGAGGAAATAATCAAAAGTTATTAACTAGACTCTAGGATTAAATTGGAAAATGAGAGTGTCAGTAGCAGAAATAGGACTGATTAGTTTGGGGAGGAAGATACTAAAATTAGATTTTCAACAAAAATTTACATTATAGTATTTTTCTATTAAGTTAAACATACAGACACAAAGAGAGACACATCATTTGGTTCATAATCTGTTTGCACTTTCAGAAAAGCACTTGTAACTTTTTCTTTTTGATTGTAACAAACTTTGAGTATATAATTATACAAACCCTTAACCAAAAGATTTTATACTTGTATCCTTAGTCTCATTTATTGTTGTAGTAACTGCTGTTGGGCGCTTGGCCAGGAAATTGTGACTCCTTGGCAGGGGGAGGAGTTAGGGATGAAGTTCACCATTGCCAAAGAAATTCTATTCCAAATGGATTTGTGTGGAGCAACAGTGATATCCAATGACAAGTTAAATTAGACACAGAGGTGTTTTCTCCAACACTGTCTCAGAAGATACATGCTGTTGAGGGGCCTAGTTCAGACTAAAAAAGTCTTTTTGAAGTTAGATTAAAGTCACACAAAAAATATTCCAGGGACTTGAAGAAGAATTTTGTTATGTGACTTCAAGAAGTAGTTGACTCAGATAGTTTCACACTTTCCAAAACGGCAACCAGTAACAGATGAGGTAATACTACTTTGAATTATGAATTAAATCTCCAAACCATTGACTTTGCTATTTATGAAATATCAAATTTAGTGAATTGCATGTTCATGCTCTTTAAGTGTGTGGATATTAGAATCATGTTCTTAAAGCACATTATGTTAATAGTCTCATTTCTTATGGCTAATATCTATTTATTTGTATAGAATTTCTTCAAATTTTATGCCTTAACTACAGTGGAATATGATGGTAAAAGCTGTTACGTTTATCTTTGTGTTGAATTCTGTGCCTGGTTTATAGTTTTCTGTGTCTGTCTCCTAAAGATTGTTTCTCTTGTTTATGCTCAAATCTGTATCTCGTAAATAACTTAGTGTCTATGTAGTAATTTCTGGCTGATAATTGCGTTTTAAGGTTGGATCTTTAGTTCAGTAATGCTTTCTAGGGTGGCAGCTTTGTATTTTATTTAAAGCAAACTTTGGAAAGTTAATTTCACAAATATATTCAAGCTCTTAAGACAGAGGTGGAGTATGTTTCACTGGTTAATAATTTAGAAAATTGACACCAAAGTAAACTGGCATTAGCAAAAAGAAAGATACAGTCAAGGTCCTGGAACCAATAGAAATTTTTGGATTCACCAAGCAGATATCTTTTTGTTTAAAATGTATGGTGGAACAGTGAGCTGGTCTTTTAATTGATAATAGTACCTAACACTTTCTTTTGTTATAACAGTGAAGAATAAGCACTAGTTTGAGGTCAAGAGATTAGTTTTCCTTGAAGACTATATCCTGGAGACATGATATTTCTGGCTCAGGGCTGCCTCTCTGCTGACGTCAGTGCATACTTTGAGCATTTGGATGTTTATTATCTTTGTAAATCTTAGCATATACTACATTATTACAGTTCTCTATACTGCAGCTGTTCCATTCTGTCATGTAGTTTTCCTTATGCACTTTAGATATATTTGCACACGAATTAGATTGAATTCCCTATTGCCACCTCCTCCC